GAAAAGCCAAGAACCAGCGGTGACTCTTCACAACAACAGCCACTGTTCAACCACATTCCCCATTCCTACCGACTCCACTTTGCTTATTTTTCCAATGTCAGCTCCAGTCAAAAGGACATTTCCTCCTCATGTATGGATTCATCTCCTCCTCCCAAACATGAATCCCATCACTATTCCACACTCGTTCTTGCATCCTCTTCCCATACAACAACAACAACAACAACATTGAATTCTGTCACGTCATCTGTTCATTCTCCACAACAACAATCATCCTATGAATCTATTTCTTCTTCTTGGATGATGACATCTTCTCCGTCTTCCGCCAATTTCCTCCTCTCTTCAAAATTAAATCCCAAATTAATTCCCTATAAATCCTTTCATATTGAGGATCGAAAGGAGTTGAATCATTCATTGAATCATTCACTCGTAGATGATGCTTCTACAACGAATAGTACAACTCTAAATTCTAATCATCATGGTGGTGATGATGGAAATGGTCTCTCACTCTATGAATACACACTTCATTCCATCACTCATAGGATGAGTCATCATTCACAACAACAACAACAACAACAACATTCACAACAACATCAACACCATTCAGATATCGCTGCCACATCTACTTTCAAACAACATTTCAGCAATAATACCATTCCATCAATCTCTCCAACAACAATAGCTTCACATCATCATGGAACGACACCATCATCACTTCACACCACATCCACTACAACACCAATGACTCCTCCTCCTCCTCCTCATTATTTGAGTCATCATTATTCAGTGTCACCTGTGCAATCACCTGCCTCTGAATCACATTTGAATACGAGTACTTCATTTTCAGATTTTGAAGATTTGGTTTTAATGCAAAAGAGAAATGAAGAAATATTGGATGATGACCTGATGGAGGATGATGAGGATTTGACATCTGACAGTGAAGATGAAGATAATATCGAGTATTGTGTTGCAAGATATATTCATTTTGGTGAAAATTCTGAAACATTGATTCAATCTGTTTTGAATAATGAAGGAGAGTTGAAAAAGAAGGTATGTGTGAACCATGATGTGTTTTTAATCATTGTTGTAAATATTTCATGTCACAATTCCAGTTCGTTGAATTGCTTTCACTTTCCTATCATGTCAATATCGCTCAACTCTATGACTTGTATTTGGTGGTAGATGAAAGTTCAAATCCATTCAAAATTACTGGTCTACTCTATACGATGGAATATATACCATCGAGTATCAAATTAACAGAATTACTTTTGAGTCCTACTGTCAGTACTTCAACCAATTCTACTATTGCTTCAACTGTCAGTACTTCAACTCAACAATCATCTTGTCAAAAGAGTGTAATGCATTCAATGAATCATACTTTTATGGAAAATGCATGTGTGACACCAGATTGTGCAGTTCACATATTTAATCAATTCTTAGAAGTCTTGATGATGTTTCACTCTAAAAACAAGGTCTTTCCAAACAAGTTCATGACAAGTCATTTATTAGAAAATAACATGTTCATCAGAGGAAATGTGTCCAGTGAATTACAAAAACATGTTGGAATTTATTTGAATGTTGAAAGTTATTTATTGTCAATATTGAATCAAAGTGTTGTTGTTGTTGAACAAGACATTGAATCTGGCAAGATGGAAAATATATGGAATGCAGGCTATTTACTTTTCAAACTCATTGTTCAAAAAGATTGTCCCAAGTTAACGATGGGTTCGATCGATGAAGAAAAAACAAATTCCATTCTTGAAGAGAATTGCAGTGATCGAAGAATTGTGTCACTTGTCATGAATATTTTAACCAATGACACCAGTAAGAGACCACAAAGTGTGTCAGAAATTCTCTATTCACCATGGTTGTTACGATTTAAAAAATTTAGATTGTTCACAGACATGAAACAACGACAACAACTCATTGAATCCATGAATCATCAAATTCAATTCCATGAACGAATGAAAACAACAATGAATCAGTTATTGACTCCACTTTTGTCATCAAGACATTTGACAGCAGATCATCAGGAGAATGAGACTGGAAATGTCGTGAATGGTGGCCTCAACATTACGGCAACAACGACAGCATTGACAAATTTAGACTCGAATCGAATCATGAATGGAAGTGCTTCTGCTGCTCGTCATCCAAGAAAAGGAACTTTGACTGCTGTGAATCAAAAGAAGAGAATGAGTTTGAAATTGTACTATTCAACTGTATCTGCTGAATTGAATCAGCATCAACATGAAGAAGCTCATCAAACGAGAAATGGTGCTGCAAGTCCTACCTCATCGCCTCTCACTCGAAAGAATTCATCAAAATCCAATTTGATGGTTGGCATGTTTAAACATCAAAAATCAAAAACAGAAGTGTCAAAACCATCTCATGATCCAAAAGAGAATGTTAATGTTGATGAATATTATCAATTGATGTTAAAGCAACAGAAACAAAGCTTTAAATTTGACACCAGTGTTAAGCATAACTACTTTGGAGTGACCAATAATCAAAAGACGGTTACATTGCTTCAAAACAAGATGTTTGGATCGGATTACTACACGATTCGGTATGTGTTTGTTTTGAAATGTGTTTGTTTTGAATTGTTTTATTATTAATAACATTGTTAATCATCCAATGTCATACACTTTAGCTGTGAACAAAAGATCACTCCACTAAATAACGAAATTCAAATCAAAATTGACAAGGTGAACGCCGACAATGAAATTGTTGTTGGGATAATTTCAAAGACTACGACCACAAAATTTCAACCAGAAGTGGAATTTTAGGCAGTAAAAGCTGCCCAATTCTTACGGCCTCAATTTTGTTTCTGGTCAGGTAGGCCACAACGATCAATGGAACAAGTTTGCCAAAAGTAAGCTGCTAAGAGATAAGGCGATCGTGGTTCTAAACTTCAATTTCGATAAGAGAAGTTTGAATGTCAAAATGATTCTAGATGATGCCATCTCTGATTTAGGCACATGTTTTGATGATAGTATTGACATCAAGATTGAATGGTATTTTGCTGTTTCCCTTTACCGAGAAAAGACTGCCCTCACAATTGTATAATAAATTCAAATCTTGTGACGAGTGTAATTATGAATCCTCGACCTTTGTATCAGCAACGTTTCGAAAACCAGTTTATTCAAATTAGTAGTCAGCTGGTTGTTCTTCAGCGTTTGCTTCACCCTCAGCATTTTCATCGAATTCTCCATCTTCTTCAGCTGTAGCATCTTGGTATTGTTGGTATTCAGAGACCAAGTCGTTCATGTTGGATTCAGCTTCAGTGAATTCCATTTCATCCATACCCTCACCAGTGTACCAGTGCAAGAAAGCCTTTCTTCTGAACATGGCAGTGAATTGTTCAGAGACTCTCTTGAACATTTCTTGAATAGCAGTGGAGTTACCAATGAAAGTAGCGGCCATCTTCAAACCTCTTGGTGGAATGTCGCAAACAGATGACTTGATGTTGTTTGGAATCCATTCAACAAAGTATGAGCTGTTCTTGTTTTGAACGTTGAGCATTTGTTCATCAACTTCCTTAGTACTCATTCTACCTCTGAACATGGCAGAAGCGGTCAAATATCTACCGTGTCTTGGATCAGAAGCAGCCATCATATTCTTAGCATCGAACATTTGTTGAGTCAATTCTGGGACAGTCAAAGCTCTGTATTGTTGAGATCCTCTTGAGGTCAATGGAGCGAATCCGATCAAGAAGAAGTGAAGACGTGGGAATGGAATCAAGTTAACTGCCAACTTTCTCAAATCAGAGTTCAATTGACCTGGGAAACGCAAGCAGCAAGTAACTCCAGACATGACAATTGAGACCAAATGGTTCAAATCGCCAAATGTTGGTGTAGTAAGCTTCAAAGTTCTAAAGCAAATATCATACAAAGCCTCATTGTCAATACACATGACTTCATCAGCATTTTCAACAAGTTGGTGAACAGAGAGAGTAGCATTGTATGGTTCAACGACAGTATCAGAGACCTTTGGTGATGGGAAGACAGAGAAGGTCATCATCATTCTGTCTGGATACTCTTCTCTAATCTTGGAAATCAACAAAGTACCCATTCCTGAACCAGTACCACCTCCCAATGAGTGAGCAATTTGGAAACCTTGCAAACAGTCGCAGCTTTCAGCTTCCTTTCTCACCACATCCAAAACTGAATCAATCAATTCAGCTCCTTCAGTGTAGTGTCCCTTAGCCCAGTTGTTACCTGCTCCGGTTTGACCAAAGACAAAGTTATCTGGTCTAAAGATTTGACCGTATGGACCAGCTCTGACAGAGTCCATTGTACCTGGTTCCAAGTCCATCAAAATTGCACGAGGGACATATCTTCCACCAGTTGCTTCATTGTAGTAAACATTAATTCTTTCCAATTGCAAGTCGGAATCACCACCGTATGCACCAGTTGGATCCACACCGTGTTCATCAGAGATGACTTCCCAGAATTTAGCACCAATTTGATTACCACATTGGCCTGCTTGGATGTGCACAATTTCTCTCATGGTTGTTGTTGTTGCTGAGATGTTGTAGTTGTTGGTTTTTTTTGCTAAGGCTTGCTCTGGGAAGGTTGGCGGTTTAAGGAAAAAACGACTGTAAAGTTTACAACTCCAATAGCCAATGGTTTGTTTTGGCGCACTGAACTATGAACTCGTACGACGAGCCAACACAACCAAATTAGTATTAATTTTTGTAATAATTGACATTATGCAACAGAGCTCGAGTTTGGTGAGATTTATACTACAAATTTTGTCAAACTGTTGTTTGTGTTGATAACATACACCCTGTCATCTACTTATTTTTTAGCCATTGTTTCCAATCGATCAACTTGTTTCTCAATAGCAACTACAAAAGCTTCCAACTTTTTCAGATATTCGGGATCTAACACATCATCTGTAGATAATTTTGCTGTTCCAGAAGATTTTAATGGCACAGATGGAGTGGTGCTGCTACTTGGAGGAGGTGTTGCTACCTTTTGTGGTGAAGACTCTTTTGGTGATGACGATGATGACTTATCGGATGGAGGCACTGCAGAAGCTGATTCTTTCATTGGAGTTTGTGTTGAAATTGCTCCTTTCTTTTGTGGAGGAACACTGAAAGTAGTGGATGGAGGTGTGGCAACCTTCTGTGGTTCCTGTGTGGGTGCTGTGGTTTTTGGTTCTTCCTTTTTCACAGTGGAAGAAGTGGTGGAGACTGGTTTTTTAACAGGTACCGATGAGTTGTTTGCTTCTTGTGATTTATTCTCCCATTGACTGAGCAATCCTGCAATTTTGCCTGGCATCTTGTTGTTGTTGTTCTGTGAAATTTGAATATTTTTTTAATTGATGAAATTTGCGATGGTGTGATGACTGATGACTGCCAAAGTACAAAGAAAGACAAGCTCACAGCATTACAACCAATTTTTTCATCTCAAGAATAGCTCTCCTTTCACCTTTTCCAAATCTCTAACATGAATCATGACCATGACAACAAACATCAAATAGAAAAGAGCAACACCCAAGAAAACAAATCCTCCAGATTGCCAGAACAACTGATGAATGAAGAGAGGAGTGTCAGCAAATCCGTGCATGATTGCGAGATTGGCAATGACTAAGGTAATAATGCTCACAGCTCCACCAAAACCACATAGAGTTGCAAACATGTACTTGCGATTGGTTCTCATATTTTCTATCCATTTGATTTTTGGAAATACAAAGAACATTAGGATTGCCTCCAAGATGATCAAGCAACAATTAATCCAAGCCCTTTTTGTCAACAAGATCATGAATGTTTAAGAAAAATTGAAAAGTTGAGAAAAAACTTACCATGCCAACCATCTCCACCATAAATCATGCCACAAAGCAATAAATGTGAAAATAATCCACACGCTCCAAACTTTTGATTTGCTTCCTCCAAGAGGAATATAGAGATACTTTAGAATCCACAAGTACAAGGATCTATGCCACGATCTCCAAAAATCTGACACCAAATAATTATTATTCACGCATCGGTTCATATTCTCTGGAGGATTAATTCCATCCCAAAGCGACCATAACCTAAAAAGTCTCCAAATGATTAAAAATTTCATATACATAAATGTAAGAGTGGATATGCCAACACACCCTACATCAAATGGAGCGAGACTTGCTTGAGGTCCAACCCATGAATTAGATTTCCACAGACCCTTTTCATTAAATCCAACAGTGTAAAATAGGTGAAGATATATTTCGAGTAATACAATGTAAGAGATCAATCGGATGGTGTGCCATATTAATTGCTTATATGAAAGCTCTTTTTGAGTTGAATATTTAACATAGGATATGAATGCAGTATAGCCACACACTGGTCCTCCCACAAATAATGGTACATAGAAAAGATACGCAAAATAATGTAATAAATTAAAATCAGCTTCAACATTCAATGTTGATTCTTGTCTTTGACGATATTCAGACCACTTTTCTTCGTCTTTTTTAACAGATATGCCATCTGAGGGTACCTTTCGAAGTTGTTCAGAATAATCCATATTGTAGCTAATGAGTCTACAAAACATGATATTGAAATAGGTTTCCCAGCTGAGCACGCCTCTATTACTCTCCAAGTAGGAAGGTAAAAAGAAATTATAAAATCGATATCCATCATAGTATTTGCTTGTGAATAATATTGATAAATTAAATAACCAGGAAAATAAATCATTGAGCTTGCTTTTCTTGAATACTTTTCCAATTCCATAATTAAAAAGAGCAATTGCTATTAGAAAGATTGAGCAGTTTCCGTACAGAAAATACACAAATCCAATGGAAAATACTATATTATAAATTAATATTGGTTTAACATTCTGAATTCAAATCATTGTAATGTGTGTGACAGTGTCCACAACACACTTACAGTTGGAAATATGAAGTGTCTTATTGCTCTAGAAATCGACACGAAAATTACTGCTCCTATTAAAAGCATTGGTATGAATTGTCGAAAGCTGTCCCACTGTGGATCTGTCAAATCCTATTCATTTGCATCATCATCATGAATAATAAATATTTGAAATTTTGAAGTTTAAGTCTCGTATAGGATGATTATCGGAATAGACTACAAACCTGAAGCATGCCCATAAACCATCCTTCTCTCAGTCGTAATGGAAAGAAAACATTTCCATATTGAACAAATTCTCTAGAAATATTGTATGATCTGTAGATGATCACAAGAGCACCAAGAATTGTAACAACAAGGCTCACATAGAATAATGGTTTTGGAATGATTGGCTCATACTTTTTTCTACTAGTAGCCGGAGCAGAAGAAGATAACATGTTTTCTTCTCCAGAAGTTGTTGTTATTGGTGATGGTGATTCCAAAATAATGGGACTACAATGAGATGAGTCGACTGGCGAGTGTGCGGGTTGATGGTTCCTCTCGTTGTTCATACACCTATTTTTGTTGTCTCTTCAATCAGATGATCCGAGTGGTCAGGCGATGAAACTCCTCATACTTCCTGCATGATCCAAATGAATGACAAAAATCATCTTGTTGGACTTTTTCGCAGAATGCAAAAGTAAAGGAACAAAATTTGATGATTATACCATTTTCCTTACCTTAACAGGCATCATCCAAATGTTTACACAATTTTAGATGTTTCAAAACACTCAAGTATCAATGTCTCTATCCAAGTGCAAACCAGATTATGTTATCTTCAGTTTTTACAAATGGTTCGGATATCCAACAGGTATCGGCGTTTTATGAATTCGTAAAATGAAAAATCTATGTCAATGGAGCAAAAGTCGTTCACATCTACAATGAAGATAACATTGGAAAGACAAGCATGATCATGAATATGAACGTTTTTAACAGCAGAGGACAAACGGTTGAATACTCTCAAGAACTATTGTTCTCTCGAATTGTTCAATATCAGAATTGGACAGTTTCAGGAGTTATCCAATTAAGGGATGTGGGGCCATGAAACTCTTTCAAGAACACAGATACGATACACACAAAAATGTGACCAGTTGGAATTAACACAACGATACAGGAACTTACTTGGATTGAGATTGGGCAATTCTCTTTACCATGTTGGATGATGCAACTTTTTGTGGACGATGGCATTATGAATATTCTGTGTACTCGGATGACGTCAATGAAAAACTCATGCTTTATTGGCAAATCGGTTCGACTCGTTCGAAGAAAAAAGAGTGACAATGAAATCCTCGTTTTCCAATGAGGGACTGTTTTTAATTTTAAATGAGTCTTCGTTGATCGATCTAAATCAATGATTGAAAAACTCTCAAAGTGCCACTGCAAACAACAACCAAAACTCAATCGATAGTATTGAGTGGTTATTCGATCAGACGAGACCAAACATTGTAATTCGAGGACTGGAAGCTTATGAAGAAGGCTAATAAAAACTCAAACAAGAACCTTTAAAAACTCTCAAACATACAGAAAACAAGAACATGGTGCAATGTTTGGTGTTTTGGCCAATCATTACATCAGTACTTAAGGAAGTGATGAGAAACCTGTAATGATGAAATTTTATTGAAAACAATGTACAATAAGACGAGCAGAAATTTAAAATTTTCCTTGAATTCCTTCTCCATTGGCATTCGAATTCGACGATTATTCATATTCATCAATATTGTCGATAAATGTAGCAAATATGGGTGTAATGTCATCCTGTTCCTCGAGTTTGATGATAGCATTTAATGCTGTCTTAAATGTCATATTATTTTTTGCATATTTTTTCCAAAATTTTACGAAATATTGTCTTCTTTGAGTCCCAATTAAGTTGCAACTATCGATAGAATTTTTGACAGTTGTGTCTGCAAAGTAGACAAAAACTTTCAACAAGGATTCATAGTCATAGATTTTGAGATAGGTTGAGGTTAATCTGTGTGTCCAATGTTCAGAATATTGTTCTGCGCAAAATGTTGAAGTGCCTGCAAAGTTTGAGTGGTGTTCTTCAATCCTTACAGAGAATCCAAAATCAATTAATAATGGAGTACTATCTGTTTTCATTATATTTTGAGGCCTAATATCTCTATGTAACACACCTGCTTGGTGAAAACTTTTTACCAATTCCACCAAAGCTTTCATTTCTGATTTAGATAAAGATGTACAGGGATAACACTTTTCCATCACAATCCAATAATTTCCATGCTCAACAATTTTTGGAAGAGGATTCACTCCTTTCTCGTCCAAAAAAGTAATAGTTTTTGTTTCTGTAATGATATGTGTGTTGTCGCTTGGTGTTTTGGCAAGTTTAATAATCTTACCATCTCCAAAATCAAACACAAACGACGTTGCTCCTGCAGCAATAAAATTTCCAAGTGTAAAGGTTCGATTGTCTGTCCATGTTTGTTGTGTTGGAGTGTTTAAAAGTCTTTTGAGATAACTATATCCATCAGAGTTCTGAATTCCAGTGGAGAAAAGACTCAATTTTGGACTTCTTGTGGTGATAATATTTTCCTCGCCCAGTTCTGTCATCGATTTTCTAATCTTCACAAAAATAATGTCCTTGAAGTTTGAAACGAATCCAAAAACATAGGACTTGTAGCTATCTTTGAGTGCCCTAAACATGTAATCACAAAGCTGGCCAAGGATATGTGGTGTTTCAATCACTTTTGTATCCTTTTTCAATTCTAAAAAACCTAGCGCCAAATGTTCTATTGCTCTGGGATCATTTTCTGTTAGGTTAAACATTTTGGGAATAAACGTAAAGTCGGGCTTTCTGTTATAAATAATAGTTTTGTTTGTATCAACGGCTGTATATACTGTGGAAATTTCATTTGAGAACAGTTTTTTAAAGAACTGGTGGACACGTGTTTCTTTGTCCAAATTTTTTCATTGATTGTTAGAGAAATCATGTTTGAACTACTTGCTTGATCATTACTATTGATTTGTAATGCTGGAATAGTACTATTGTTGAATTGTGTTGATTCTTCTTCACTCTGAAAATTTTCAACAGAGACTGAAAGACGTTGATACAACTCCGATGTGGTTATTGTACTTTCTTCAGTCGTTACTCGATTTTCCAATTTCATTCTCTTTGTCTGTTCTTCCATCTCCTTTCTCTTTGTCTTCTCTTTTTCTCTTTCCGTCAAATACGTCAAATATTTTAAGTACGCCCCCAATTGTTCGGAATTTAATTGGGCAAAAGAGACGCTGGGACCAAATCGTCAGACATTTTTAATTTTTTTTAAAAAAAACAGGGGTGGCCAACTCCTTCAGTAAAAATGACCAAGATGCGAGACAAGATTCTTCGCGAGCGCACTTTTATTTTTTACTCAGTTTACAACACCGACCAATTTTCAATACTTGTTTCAGAGTTGAACTGTTCGACAATTACGCAAGCTGAAACCAAGATTTTCATACAGTAGATGTTTCATTCCGTCTAGTTTCATATTCTTTAGTTTGGAATTGTGAGACCTAATATACAATAAATATCGGCCGTTAAAAAAAGGTGACAATGACTTTAGTTGAATTAAACATAAAGCCCGTGTAAAGTGCAAACAACCAACAAGAAATTCTAGAATAACAGGCCAATATACACTCAAGGATAATCTATTTGTTCTGCACTTTTGATGGGCTTGGTGTTAATTTCAAACTCTTCCAACTAATTGTTTTTGCTTTCATTCAACAGAAATTTTTTCGAAAAGAAAAATACAGGAATGGGTTTATTGAAAAATAAACAAATTATAGGTACTCAATTGTCCGACGATAGTGTGTCTAATGGGTGTGTAGGTGTGAGGTGTAGATGTTGTTGGAGTTGAGTTCGCCAAGCTGACTGCTAAATGTTTCCCAAGCAGTTGCAAATTTTGCAGTTTTGGGTTTAATTATATATCCTCTAGCCTTCTTGAGTACAGTTGAACTGTTCCAAGTGGCGTTTTTGTAACAACTGCCAACATAGGCAGCGAATGAGAGATATATTTCATTTAGCCAATCAGTCAAAGCTGGGGGAGATAAGTCTAATTGTTGAAGAGGTTCGTCTTTGATACTACCATTCCAATCCATTGGAATACAAGAGAGAGAATGGTTTGAGGGAAGTCTGATAAGAGGGGCATTGAATTTGAGGGAACTGTTGTCCCATTTTGTGTATAATGATTTGATTTCCGGACCACACATGGTGCATGAGGTGAATACATGTTCCCAGTTGGCTTTGGTATTGCAAATGTGGCAATTAGGGTAATCTTTTCCGAAATTTCTAAGGATTTCTGCTTTGTGTAGGTGAGCAAATAATAGTCGTTGTTGGAAGGGTTTGAGTGAATAATTGCTCCAAAAGGAGATGGTACATGGATGCCAGGTTCTATTATGGTCTAAGATTCCAAGGCCTGAGATGCTCATGGTTGATCTATCGTTGTTTAGTAATTCAGTTCTAGGGTCGACAGGGGTTTCGTATTCATTGACAAATGAATACCGTTCATCAATGTAATGGAGAGACCAATTATTTTGAGCCGCGATATTTTTCACGTGGTTCCAAAATGGTTCGTTAAAGGTAAGATCATTCCAAGCAGCCAAAGCAATATTTTTGGTGATGGTGGAGGAGGAGTTGAATAATCTAACTGCTGTGCAAATAGGTTCAATGGAGAATAAAGTAGAGGGGCGAGTAATACCAAGGCCCCCAATTTGTTTGCAATTAAAAATGACTGATTTTGATAATGTGTAATCTAATCCAATAGCCTTTCTGACAAAATTAGCAACCATAATATCTGCTTTGTCTAGAGAATTCTTATTGATTCCATTGAAACTACAGGCATATCTAGGCAAAGATATGATTTTGGACATTAATGTAGTGGTGATGCTGTTGAGATATAGATTAGAAGTTTTAGCTGATGCCAGTTGATTCGAGATTTTGTTGATTGGATTATCAGAGGACCAAGAAAAATCATTCTTAAAGGTACATATACCCCCAAGATATTCAATAGAAGAAGATGTGGCAATTATATCCTGTCCAATAGTGACTAGGGCCTTAGATAGTTTGGCTTTGGCTGTAATAGCTAAGAGTTTGCATTTCTTGGGAGCTAAAGCGAGCCCTATTTTCTTTAATTCACGGCCGAGGCTTTTTAGAGAGGAATTCATTTCGATCTTAGTATTAGCTATCAATAAAATATCATCGGCATATAATAATAAAAGGATGGTAATATTAAATATTTGAACTCCTTTAAGCTTTTCTTGTATGTTAGTTGAGGAGTTAATATAAAGATTAAACCATGCCGGGCTTGAAGGATCGCCTTGCGGAACTCCAACATTCGCATCGAAAGGGGAGGATAGAAATCCGTTGACTAGTACTTTCATAACGCTATTGGAGATCATGGATGTCAAGAGATTAATGACAGAGTTATGGAAACCATGTTTCTTGAGAATGCTGATAAATCTTTTATGGATTACTGATCCATAAGCATTTTTGATATCCAGAGCCATAGCAAATACTTCTTGTTTGTGCTGATATTTGTATGCAAAGGCAGTCCGAAGACTGATAAGGTGTTCTAATGTTGAACCTTTTTTCATGAATCCTCGTTGCGCAGTGTGGATTAAATTAGCCTCTTCAAGGACATTCATGAATTGTTTGTTGATAATAGAAGAAAATAGACGATAGATCACGGATAATACAACTATAGGTCTAAAGTCTGATAATTTTGAAGGCATGTTGATTTTGGGTAATGGGAGTAGAATACCGATACCCAATTCTTTAGGAACCATTTCACTGTCAATTGTGTGATTGATACATTTTGCAAGTATTTGGAGCGAATTGTTGTCTAGAATTTTCAACAATGGCACCGAAATGTTATCATAGCCAGCCATAGAATTTTTTGTCTTAGAAATAACTTTATCCAACTCTTTGGCAGTGATATGATGGAATTTCCATTGGGCTACAGTATTGTTTTTCTTGATTTCCGGGAGAGTTTTAGTCACTTCTTGTTCTGTATTAAACATGGCTGAAAAATGATCTACAATTGTCGAGTTATGGTTACTTTGGACTACATTGAGTATAGAAGGACTGACTAGTTCTTTTCTGAAGGCATAAGAATACGGTTGTTTAGAGTTAAGATTGTTAATTCTATTCACAAAGACCCGTTTACGGTCAGCCAATAAAGATCCAATAAGCTTGTTGAGTGAGGTTTTAGCTTCCTCTAATTTAGCCTTGACATTGTTGAGGCTAAAATTATTGTTCAAAAATTGGCTGGTGATAGTAGAAACATGTTTACGCTTATAGAGATATTGTTTCAAATCGAAAATAAAAGTCTGAAGTTGTCTGACATTACGATTATCAGTGATCAATGAGGGCTTGTTTGTGCTAAGAGAACCATATTTCTTCACAATTTTAGCAAGGGTATTTTGGGCTTCTAAAAGAGTGTCAGGGTTTTCCTTAGCAAAATCGTTATTAATTTCCTTCATCTTGGATTGTAAAATTTTAGGATGGATAATATATTTGTTGAACTGTTCTGGGAAGTCTAAAATGGGATTACTGGGGAAGGAGATAGTTAAAAGTTTGTGAGAATAAGCAGTAGGAACATCTTCTACACCAGAATAATCATTGTGGGAAGTAATAATATGGTCCGGGCGAGAAAAACCATGAGAGTATTTGTTGCGTTGAGAAAACGAAGGTGTGTTTGGAATAGGAACAACATCAAAGAATTTCAATTTGTCACATTGGTCAATTAATAGTCGTTCATGGGCGGCATAAGATACCTTATTGAATGTTTTAGTATTGGCATTCAAATCTCCCAATATGACAATACGTTCACCATGAAAGACCGCTGTTTGAGTAGAAATGTTGATAATATTGAGAGCCTTATTCATGAATTCTAGTTTGTTTTTGTTAGCCGGGCCATACCAATTGAAAATGCGAGCCACACCTAGGTATTTATGTTCCAAAATGACTTCTGATAATCTGCCTTGAATATGTTCGACGAATTGGAGTACCTTAATAAAAGGTGACGGTCTGATAATAGTAGCAATTCCTGCTCCATTATCACCTTCAGTGGCGTTGGAATTGTAAACTAAGTAGCCACGAAAGAAGGATCTGAAATACCATATATTCCAATAGTCTTTCGTACTGGATTTTAAATGAGTTTCCTGGATATTAAGGACATCCAGTTCATATTTGCGGGCTAAGGTAAGTAATTGAGATTGTTTTACCCAGCCAACTCCTCCAAAATTAGCAGTACCTAAATTGAAGGAGTTTCTTTTAGAATGAGGGTCCATTAAAGGGAATGTCGGCCCTTCTTATGCCCACTTTTACCCTTGTTGCGAGTAGTAGTACCTAAGAGAGCGTTGATTTTTTGATTAATTTCTTCAACAGCTTTGTTGATCTTATTAAAGCCTTCCGTGACCTTTTTACCAGACCAGACAACCATTTCCTTTGTCAATTTTTGGAGAGCTGATGACATTTCAGACATTTGTTTTTCAACAGCTTCCATTCTGTGACTGATAGAATTGGCAACTCTAGTAGAGAATGAGAGGTTTCTGAAACTATAATTACCAACTTGGACGAACTTGGTAATGTTATTGGTAATTTGATCTTTTTTAATGCCAACAACAGCCATCTTCTTAGCCAACTCGATACTCTCAATCTTGACTTTCCATTGGGAACTAATGGCACCCTTGAGTTTAGGAAGATCTTTTTCTTTACCATTAAAGGCAATACGGAAGCGAGAGATATCTGTTCTCATTTTGGAAAGCTTAAATTTCTTCAAATGATTGGCAGGTAACTCAATATTAGTACCAATAGCCCAAAATTCCTGATCATCCATCTTGCTAAAATTGATATTGTTGATAGAAGAACCAAGGGTTGAGATAATAGAATGCATATTAGTCTTGTCTAAATCCTTGTCGACCTTATAACGGAATGATGTTTTGACGGTTTGAGGTATCATAGTGAGCTTGGACTTAGCACCAGCAGATATTGCTTGGTTTGCCAATTTGCGCGACTTGAAGAAGAAGATAATACAATCTAATTCACTGACAACTCTACTACCGTACAACGTATCGGCATTCATTGCGACGGTTGCAAGGACTTCTTCGACAGAGTTGGTAGTAAAGGCTACCACTCTGAAGAGCTTATGATGTCGCTTCAATTTAGTAGAATGGTCATCGGTCATGGCTGAGGTATTAAAAACTGAGACTCCAGAGGTTGTAGTAATATTAGAGACCTCTGGCTGCGACAACATTGGGGAGTTGTATATGCTGGGTGGGCTTGGTTGTATTTCCGACAAATTGGCTATATTGACGGAAGACGGAGCCTCTAGAATTTCATTTTCCATTTCTTCTCTCCATTTATCATGTGCCGATTTTTGAGCAGAAAGAGATTTGTTTGCAGTATGCGGGCGAATAGCGACCTCTTTGATAGAGGCGTGATGGCGAAGGTGATTAGTGTCTTCATCGCCGAGGGCGGTTTGGTTTTCAGACATTTTTTCGAAGACCTTTTTCGAAAAGAAAAATGAAACGAAGACGTTGCTGCCTTTGCTCCAAGAACGCTTTGCGAACCGTGCCAACAAATATCACCATACTCGGAACAGAAAAGTCCAATGCAACACCTTTGCTATGCAATACACATTACAACAATATCAATAATTTTAAAAACACCCACCACATCAGCAACCCTGTTACCATTGAAATTCAAAAAGGAGTGAAAGATATCATTTCAATCGTTACCGATAAATTCGGTCAATGCAAACATTCCGACAACAAGTGCTGTAGTAATTGCAAAGAAGGTAATACGCGATGTAAAGGCATCTCTTTCGAAAAAGTGAGCCATTTATTAACAGTATCGGGAATCATATCACACAATGGCCACAGCTTCGGAAGTGTGAATTTCAATCATCATGGCGAATTTTGTTTTTTTAGTGTAGACTGCAATAATTGCAATCTCAACAAATATGGAGTTTGTGAAAAATGTTATGAATGCTATGAAACAAAATTACGCCATTATCAGCGAACAATTAATTGAAAACCAAAATACCAAAACAGCTCACCTCGTTGCAAGAACACAAGAATACAAAAATGTCATCAAATCATTGAAGGCAAAAATCTCTCGACGAGATACTACAATTAAGAATTTCGAATTAATTGAAGAAAAAGATCAAAAACATTATTTGGTAGAACTTCTCTCGATTGCGCTAGAAGAAGGAAAGTTACATGAAACCCAGTTCTTTTATCAATTATTAGAAAATACTTTGCAAAATTTGGTTTCGTCGAAAAATGTTAACGGTTTTCGATACAAAGAGTGTATCATTCATTGGTGTTTATTACTTCGATTTTATGGTGGTTCTCGTTTGTGGAATATTTTGAAAGGAAATTCTCCCGGTGAAACTATAACATCTGAAAACGCATTAGATAAGCTTAATCTATTACTTCCATCTATCTCAACAATTAAGAGCTATCTTCCAGACTTGTCTTTTGGTAACCTTGTCGACAGTGATTTGAAAGATATTGTTAAAGCCATGGCATTGAATAATATTAGTAATAAGATCATAATTTCATATGATGAAATAGAGATTAGAGGAGGATTATGTGTGATGAAAAGTACTGGAAAAGTAATTGGATTCACAAATTGCAGTGAAAAGTCTTTTGAAGATATATATAACACAAAAAGAGAAATTACACCAGACGATATTGCTAGTCATGTGTGCCAGTTTTTTGCAACAACTATTGACGGTGAGATGTCTTTTCCTATTTGTTTTGGTGGTCACAAATCAAACCATTATGAATTTATTACAAAGAAAATGACAGAAATTAGAGATCAATTCAAACGAACTTCTTATGGAGATTATGTTTTAGAAGTGGTTGGAGGTTGTAGTGATGGATTAGCTGGTAATTATCAATATGCAACCTCTCATACTAATGAAAATTATGTTCACCTTTTTGATTGGTCTCATTTGCTCAAACGGTTGAGAAATTGTTTATTGAAAGGGGATGATTTGATTATTGAAAAAGAGAGTTTTTCTATGAATACATTATTGAAGGTTAGAAATGAACCCCAATTGCGAGACTGGGTATCGGAAAATATAATTTACCCAGTCGACATTATGAAAATGGAACCTGTTTTTGCATTGATAGATTCTAATGTTATTAGTGGAATTGAACAAAGCAAGCAAATAGGATGTTGTGCATTAGCAAAATATTTAACGTTAATGCAACAAATACATCAAATTTTTGACGATGAACGATGTTCAAACTGGAATGAGAAAAAACAATTAATTGAATCTGTACTGACAACACTTAAGGAATGGAAAGATGCAAATTCTAACATCATTAGTGACGAATTGTATTCTCATATTGTGATGACTATGACTTCACTTCGTTCTCTTTTTGAAAAATATGGAAACCATACTCAAATTAAGGCTTGTGGAATTTCGACATTAATTGTTGAACTTTTTTTCCTTAATTCGAGGAAAAATACGATACCCTAATTTTCGAGATTATTGTGGGATCTATCGAGCCGTATGGATTGCTTTGAAGACGAAATTGGCAAAAAATTCTCCAATTAATGTCAATCAACAATCAACCACAAAGTGTTATGGAAATTGTAACGTAAGCTTAGACTATTCTGAATTACATCGAAAACACTATGTAAAGAAACACATTCTTCAAGAAGACGATGAGGACACTTTGTTAGAGAAAGATCAAACTATTTCTGAAGAGATGTATGAATATGTGCTCGATGTCACTCAAGATTTTCTTCCACAGAAAAATGTAATGCTGATACGAGAGTATTTATGTAAACAAGCACCAGTCGCGGATGATGGAACTATTATGAACAATATTTTTCTCAGCTGCCCTGAATGTAATCAAATAATGGTCCGACAACGATCATTCATTAAGCACTTACAATGTCACAATTATTCACCTCAGCAATGCAAAGATACACTGTACAACACAATTATTACTTCACTCAAATCTCGCCAATTTGGCCAACATGTTGAGGGTATTGTTGAGGAAATAGCAACCAAATTGGTAACCAATACCTTTAAGCAAATTCGAATTCGAACAGAACCTGAATTACCAAAAGAATCAGTTATTACATTTAATTCAGAAAAAGGATTATTTGTTCCATCTAACGAGAAGCAATCACAAGCAGAAAATATTTCAACATCAAATATCGCCACCATCGACTCTATTTCAGAAGATTCAACTCAAATGTCAGAAACTTCACCTCAAAACAAATATGTATTTTTTGATTTTGAAACGACTGGATTATGGAAGAATGATGATCCACCAAAAATTACGGAATATTGTTTTGTGGACGTTTTGACTGGAGCTGTTTTGTATGGCTTAGTTAATCCTGGAAAAGTGTTTTCTAACCAAGCACAATCAATTACAGGACTTAACTTGAATAGTTTAAGATCAAAATTGCCTATTGAAGGGCATGTGAATGATATTATCCAATTTTTAAACAATAACTCTCAAGGAAAAACTTACTTAATAGCTCATAATGGAGACCGTTTGGATTTTAAAGTTTTTGCCAAAGAATTTTTCGGAAAGTTTTCTGAATTTAATCATGACAATATTGTCTTTGTTGATTCTCTCCGATTAATGAAATCAGAATCGACTTTACACAATTGTCTTCCTCGGAAAATGACAAAGAAAGGGAAATCTAAACCAGTTTTTGCTGAGGATGTATTAATTGAACACTTTAATTTAGGAAATGTCAACAATTCACATTGTGCATTTTATGATGTTATTGGATTGCTTAATATTTTGATCAAGTTTTATGGTAATCTCGACGATGCATTGAAAGCTATCGAGTGCTTCAATACCAACCAACTTAAAAGGAAAAAAGAGAAAATTAATGACAATAATGATGATGAACACAAAGCAAAGAAGAAAGTTGAATGTAGATGTAAAAAAGGAAATAGTTTGAATTGTAATTGTGCCAAGCTTGGAAGAATATGTGATGCAACTTGTAGGTGCAATTCAGAAATTTGCAAACGGAGACAGTGCCAAGTTTGTTCCAACTACACGGAACTAATATTGTGTTCCTGTTGTTCTGATATTGTTTGTGAGCGATGTTCTTACAATGGAGAATGTCAACGATGTTCGATATTCATAGTTTATCATTGCAAATGTTGTCACAGACTAACCAATGCCGTTTCTAAATGCCTTCAATGTCAAAATTCAACATGTTGCAAATGTTACTATGACGGCCTTTGTAAGATCTGCCATCCAAACATGCCAACATTGCTGTGCAATTCATGCCACAAGCCTTGTTTATCACTAACTCCATGCAAGGATTGTGGCTTGAAAGTATGTAATGCCTGTTTGAGAGAGAGATGGTGTCGATCATGTGATTGTGATGAGGGGGAATGGTTGTCTTCAACTCAGTCACAATTCCAGTCCTCCATGGACGTGACAAATTTTTAAGTAGCTACCATGGCTCTTGTAATGCGAATTCAACATATTGACGCACCAATAGTGATGTGGTGTTTCCTTTATGTGTCAGAAACAACCAATTGCATTGGCAGGTTTTGATGGATTGAAACCATCATAAAATCATCCTATGATCGTTGTGTTATTAAAATTCCCAGCGAAAAGTTTTCTCGTAGCTTGAGGTGTTCACGAAAAAATACGCTCGAGTTGTCCACCCGTGAAAAAAATTGAACACATCACAACGATTATCATTATTCTTTCCTCCTTGAACAGAGCTAATGATAGATCCAACTAGATCTTCGAGCATAAAAGTACTCATACACCATAGAGGTCCAAGATAGAAAATGGAGCTGTTCAACATGAACAATGATATAATGATGAGCTTAAGTATTAGACTTAAAGAGGAAAATGAATGACTGTATGTGAAGCCAGTGTTAAAATAATAATGTCAAAGTCCATCTCGATGGTTTGTAATATTTCAAAAATTTCCTTTTTCATACTGTACAAAATTTCAAGACTTCTCACCACTGGATGCATGATGATGTGTATAAAAGTGGAAAGTCTATTGAGAATATTATAATGCTTGTCTGATATTTCATCCTTAAAAACCTCAATACAATAAGCAAATATCATGTAGTATTCGATTGCTTTGAAATAACTCAATTCATCCAATCCACGGACTCTTCGGTGATAGAATGAAGGTGTTTTGATTTCATATAGTTTGTCTATCGTTCCTTTAGTAGTGGGAAAATTCTCAAGAAACTCAACTTACTATTAATAGCGTCAATGTTGTACTTATTTTTCAAATAGTTCAGCAATTTGGCACAGAGATCTTCAAGTAAATTATGTAACAAATCACAAGCAATCTGTGTGGTCCATGTAAAGTATGGTAGTCTTACCAAGATTGACAACCCTTTAACACCATCAAATTGCTAAATCTCTCCCTTAATCATTAATTTGTAATTTTCAACAATTTCAGACCAAACACATTCCTGTTCATTTCCACCCGAGCTATAAATGGTTCGATCTTAAATCTTTCTACCATTCTTTTTACACCATCGACAACTTGAAGTTCCAGCAAGGTTTGTCATGCATAATAAATCATAACATTGGAAGGCAACTTACAGGTGTCTGGAAAGAGATCATTTAAGATTCTGAAAATTTCGTTCATCATTACTTTGGTAGCCTTAAATTTGACATACAGCTGTAGCATGTCGAATATTAATTCTCCCAAAGTCTTACTGGAATGAGTGGAAATTGGATTACGTGAGTTGGGAATTTGATTCATAATCATAACGAGTGCTTGTTTTTGAAACACCTCAAAAAGTCCTTTCAGTCCTTTGTTTAGGACTCTCTTCATACTCGTTAGAGAATTCTTGAATAGGGGATTGATCCTCTTCTAACTTTCTCTTCTTGTTATTCTCACCTTGAAGGCTAGAGTTTACTTGGTTTGGCTGGGACATATTAGACACTACTACACTGTGTTGCTGTTGAGGTAATTTTTTGAGCGATGATTCCCTCTAAAAATTACAAATTAGTGTTGTAACAGAGTTACAATCTTAGACACATTCGTGTCACGATAAAGTTTTCTAAGTATAGGGGGCGGAGTTGATAATACTTTTTGAGTGACAGTTGGAGTTTCCAAACTCTGAAGATCTATCATTGTTCAAAGGAATGTCTGGTATTTTTTATACGTTTGTTAAGATAGCATATCGTTCCGTGGTAAACTCTTTGACCTTCTGTTAGAAGTATAGGTGCATCTAACCGTGTTTCATCCAAAGGTTATAACATCACCAATCAAGAAACGTCATTTCTCTTAAGAAGTCTTCATAAGCAAAGCTTTTCTCACAAAAAGAAGAACGATTTTTGGCGGGCTTTATTTTAATATCTGATCAAAAAAACTTATAAGCCATCATGCTCACTCTTTAATCTTTCCTTCTGTAATGACTTCTCCTCGTAATAGGATAGAATCGATAGTAAGAGAGTAATATCAAAAGAAGCGAGTTGTTAAATTGAATGGCTACGGCCATATCACGATGAAAGCACCTCATCCCGTCCGATTTGAGAAGTTAAGCATCGTCGAGCTGCATCAGTACTGAGGTTGGAGACAACTTGGGAACCTGCAGTGCTGTAGCCTTTTTTTGCCAAACAAAGAAAAAAAAAAGAAAAAATAAACTCTTGAGTTTATTACGTTTTATTGATATTCGTACATTATAAATTTAGAGTAAACGATATTTACTTTTTCATCTTTCTTGATTTTGTAATTTTCGAAGAGGAAGACATGGACCTCTTTTCCAAAGTATTCTTTGAGGATCGCTTCACAGTGACTTGCATTCCCGTTAAATTTGAGACATGATAATCCAAATTTTTTCTTCTTCTGGTTCCACTCACTACATTACATGGATCAATATCAAAATTAGGTAATCGTTTGGTAATATCAATAGGTTGAGATCGAACCCATTCGGTTTTTGTTGGAATTTTATCAGTGTTGTTGGATGGAGAAGAGGAATTGTCGTTCGATGATGTTCTAGAGACCATGATGTTGTTGTTGGTTTAAAAGTATATTGCTGTTACTTTAGTTGTTTTGTTTTTTGTTGATGATTTTCGGAACAACAACTCGATGACACTTTTTATCGAGCTCGCTGTCATCCATTTTTTGTGGAATACTGAAACATCTGAAAATTCTCTAAAAACTGGAAAGACATTCAAAAATAAATGATTCCAACAACAACAAAGAAAAACAAACACTAACAACTGCATTCAATTCAGCAAAGCAAATAATCAAAATGGTCTGCACAAGAAGCAACAAGGGATACAACAATTATTCTTCCGAAATTTCCATGGATAATATTGTCGGAGGAACAAGACAACGAAAACAATTCAATTACCGAGTGATGAATCAATATGGTGAGGAAGTCATGAACAATCAGTACTTCTCCTCACGACCCTCCCATAATACTTTGGAAATGAGAAATAGGAATTTCCGAAAGTAGAGTTCTCATCTCTCCAAACATAACTATTATCAACCACTATGTAAGAATGTTTAAATATTTAAATATATTGAAGACACATAGATTTGACCCCTTATCTGCCAAATGTATCCACATGCTTCACAAATTCAAATAAATTTACCCTCCATAACCTAGGTTTAACCAAGTCTCATTCTTGAAGTTGTCAATTTGAAAGGGAGAAATTGTTGGCATTTACAGTAAGACACTTGCTTTCTTTGAGGATGATCAGACATCTCTCAGAAATGCACACCTTTCATCAAGTGAATGACAATTTCATTGGGAAGGCAACTTTCATTTATGGTTTGGGTCATCATCCATCACTATCAAGTTTACAATACATCAAAAATATCATTGGTTTGTTGAAGGTCCAGCAACACGTCACACCAAATCTTTAAATTTTTTCAATAATTATTAACAGCATTCTTTCACACAAACAAAAAACTCAACAACAACTTCCTCTCCAACAAGAACAACAAAATGTGTGACGACGTTCAAGCACTCGTAGTTGATAACGGATCTGGTATGTGTAAGGCTGGTTTCGCTGGTGATGATGCACCAAGAGCTGTCTTCCCTTCCATCATTGGTAGACCAAAGCAAAAGTCCATCATGGTTGGTATGGGTAACAAGGATGCCTATGTTGGTGATGAAGCTCAATCCAAGAGAGGTATTTTGACTTTGAAGTATCCAATTGAACACGGTATTGTCACCAATTGGGATGATATGGAAAAGATCTGGCATCACACCTTCTACAATGAATTGAGAGTTGCTCCAGAGGAACATCCAGTCTTGTTGACTGAAGCTCCATTGAATCCAAAGGCTAACAGAGAAAAGATGACTCAAATCATGTTTGAAACCTTCTCTGTTCCAGCCATGTATGTTGCCATTCAAGCTGTCTTGTCTTTGTATGCTTCTGGTCGTACCACTGGTATTGTTTTGGACTCTGGTGATGGTGTCTCTCACACTGTTCCAATTTATGAAGGTTATGCTTTGCCTCATGCTATTTTGAGATTGGATTTGGCTGGTAGAGATTTGACTGATTACTTGATGAAGATTCTCATGGAACGTGGTTACTCATTCAATACCACTGCTGAGAGAGAAATTGTCAGAGATATCAAGGAAAAGCTCTGTTATATTGCTTTGGACTTTGAACAAGAAATGAAGATTGCTGCTGAATCATCCTCCGTTGAAAAGTCTTATGAATTGCCAGACGGTAACGTGATTACTGTTGGAAATGAAAGATTCAGATGTCCAGAAGTTTTGTTCCAACCAAACTTCATTGGTATGGAAGCTGCTGGTGTCCATGAAACTACTTTCAACTCGATTGGAAAGTGTGATATTGATATCAGAAAGGATTTGTATGGTAACGTTGTCTTGTCTGGTGGTACTACCATGTTTGAAGGTATTGCTGAGAGAATGACCAAGGAATTGACCAACATGGCTCCTGCTTCCATGAAGATTAAGGTTGTGGCTCCACCAGAAAGAAAGTACTCGGTCTGGATTGGAGGTTCCATCTTGGCTTCATTGTCCACCTTCCAACAAATGTGGATCACCAAGGAAGAATATGAGGATGCCGGTCCAGGTATTGTCCACAGAAAGTGCTTCTAAATTGACCTTGGATGCACATTATCAAATTCCAATGTAATAAAACATAAAAATCTATGTAAAATCATGCATGAGTTGTGTCTTTGTAAAATTGATTTGTAGTCTCCTATTATGTCAATTTTGTGTTTGGTTTATGGTTATCAAAATCACACTTCTTTTTTAACTCTGACTGTGAAAATGATCTTTCAAGAGCATTCTTATCGTAAGTGAAGCAACACTTCACAAAAGCTAAGTGAACAAGAAGAACGCAAGTGAATTGAGGAAAGAACATGTTGTTTCAGTCTTGTACGTGGTGCTTCTTGTCGAGCATTCTTAGTGGTGATGTTGTTCATCATCACAAGACGATCGTTCTGAGAGTGTTCGCTCATCAGACATCATCAACTTGAAAAAATATTAAAATCTTCCATCATCATGGTACGTTTCTCGAGGAAGAGAGTCATCAAGGCTAATCTTCAATGATGAATTGTTGTTAATATTGTTCTGATTGAAATTTAATAACAATTCAAAATACTTCTTTCGGATGGATAATTTAAATTGTGGATGATTGATTTGGAATTGATGGAAATTGATGATGATTTTCTTTTTCATCCTCTCGATGCTCTATCGTGATGATCAACGATAATAATATAACAGAGTACCACTGCCCAACCATACTATGATTGTATCCGTAAAACTCTCGAGGCTGCCTTGTGTCTTGAGAACTTCCCATCCCAATTGATCGAAAGACACAACAAGCCAGAAGTTGAAGTTGGGTATGTTCTATAGGATTTTAGTATTGCTTTGTTGTTACTCATCACGTTGTTTATTTTGACCCGAACTCACCTCTTTTCACACAATCTCATCCTCACGAATCATTCATCGCCTTCTTTAATTGATGACATCTCAGTATGAGCAAGGAGTTGTTGCTCAACCCAGTGGTTATCAGCAGAGACAAGTTCGACAGATGTATGATTGAAGGATCTATCAACTCGGTCAGAATCAGTCTTGCTTTTAAGAAGAACGACCAAGTTGAGGAGATTATCTACAAACGTTTTATGCACTTTTGATGCAACGTGCTGAACAATTTTTGGTTTTGAGAAGAAAGCCAGTTGAGGGTTACGACATTAGTTTCCTTATTACCAATTTCCACACTGAGGACATGTTTAAGCACAAGTTGATTGATTTCGTTATTGGATTTATGCAGGATATTAACAAGGATATCAACGATATCAAGTTGCAGTTCAACGCTCGTTCTCGTGTTGTTGCCAAGAAATACCTTGGTGCTTTTTAATTTATTGTAACCATTTTGTAATTACATCCATTATTGTTTTGAAACTCAAAATAATATAACTATTTATTCATCAATAGAGTTACTGTTTGTGGAAAACACACTTGGATTCTTTGTTAACAACAACAATGAAGCCATTTCATCAGCCTCAATCTTAAGTGGTGTTAAATTTCTTCCAAAACAACATCCCTCACAAGAGAAATGCTTTTGCAGCATGTACAACACATTGAATAGGAAGGTCATCAAGAGCTGACGTCACTCAATGATAATTATCCTAAGGAAAATAGCTCTGATACATCCAACTGGGGAGAACATGACACGTAAGATTCAGTGTCACGTCTACGGCCAAGAATTTAATGATCATTGTGCTGATTTCTTTTCACCAGTCAATTAAAATCAAAACCACTGGTGATTCCAATTGATCAGCTGTGCTTGACCTAATCCGACCATGGAGTAAAAGGAGTGTGGTGCTGACCAAAGAAATTGAAGCCCTCCAAGGTCCTTCTTAACTCCTTTCACTATTACTACTTTTCTACATTGTGATAAACTCCATCCCAGTTACTTGGTCTATGAATAGAGAAGTATTGCGAACGTGTAAGCATAGTTGTTGCCGGTCCATCATTTGGTATCAATTTTAAACACTCTTCAAATTGCAAAGCAGCTTCGCTAAAGTTTCCCATAAAATAGTTTTTCAACGCGGTGTCGTAACAAGAACGCATTTGTAACATGGCCTCATTTGCAAGAGGTAAAGGTCTTTGATCTTTTGCAATTTCTGACGTGTCTTCA